TTTGGGTGAAATTTTTAAAAATGTAATTTCGTTGATTTGTGTAATCTGTGAAGATCATATGATAAAATTTTGGATGTAACAAATCATGTGACTGTTAAGTTTATCAGGCACTATATGAAAGCACAATTTGATCATATATAATCACTTTACCAGCATAATATGCAAATAATAAAGCCAAAACAGTTCCAAATACAATTGAATTTGGCTAAGTTCTTTGCCCTGATAGTTGACAATTTGCTACTCTAATATATTTTAATGTTTTAGAAAATATGTGAAAATTATAGAAACAGAGTTTGTGTCAAGGGTGCTCTTGGCGCTGTCAATTATATAGGTTCGATAATAGGGTGTCTAACTATTTCTAGCATCTAAAATAGCACTAACGGTATTGCGAAAACAACCAAACTAGATTTGTCTTATTTTTATTCTATAAACATATAGAGTTCAGGAATTAAAGTAAAACAACTTTGGTTGAATTTGGATATGCATAATTATCATAGTATTACTGGTGCTATTTTAGATGCTAGAAATAGCTGGACACTCTAATCGGTAATGCAATCAAATTTTATGTATTGTTTATCAAATTAAAATGTAAGCAAAATACAGTCAACTCTCTCTAAGTGCAAGTCAATGGGCCAGCAAAATATCTTGTATTTAGAGAGAACTTGCACTTAAAGAAAACTAAATTATATATAATTAATTCTCTCTAAATGCAAGTTTATAAGTTAAAAAAAATATCTTACACTTAGAAAAAAAACTTTAATTAAATAAGTCAATTTAATTGGTTAATAAAATAACTTGCAATTAGAGAAAATAATTTTATATATACTGGCTAAAAAAAATCTTGCACTTAGAGAATAAAGAATTTTATAAGTCCTAACACAGGACCAGACTATTTAATTGTATTTAGAGAGAAGTTGCATTTAGAGAACGTGCACTTAGAGAGAGTTGACTGTAATTAACAGAAAGTAATAAAATTCTAAGAGTGCAACAATACAAATTAACAAGATATATGACTTTTTTAAAATATTTCCTTTTAAAATTTTAAGGTTAGCATAAATGTTAGCATAATATTTTTACATGTTTTGAAATATATTAAAAAATTTTCTTTTCTTTCATTGTTTGTTGTTACAAATAACAGACTCTTACTAATTTTTAATTAAATATGAAACAAAAATTTTTATACAAATTGCAAAACTAATTTAAAGTTAGATGTAAAATACAACAGAATTCTCTAAAAGCACCACTTATAGGACCAGATACCAATAAGTATAACGCAGTTAGAAAGATTTAACTATATAATGACTTCAATTATATTTGTTTATATATATCAATTCTATTTGATTCTAGAAATCAATTCTAGATATCAATTCTATTTGGTTCAGGAGAAAATTTGAAGAATTTTTTTACTCCATATCTTCTTATTTTCCTTTTTTGATGATTTACTTTGTTAGCATGACCTACCCATGGCTTAATCTTAATAACATTCATTTCAACAAAGCATCTAAACTTTTCCAATTCTTCAATTCTATTTGTAATTAATTGAGAATCTTCACTAATTTCTTGCAAATCTTGATTACTTGCTTGCAAATCTTGACTACTATTTGTATCACTTGTTATTATAGATTCTAAATCTTTATCAATTATGGCTTTAGTTTTTTCTTTGTATATTCTGATTCCACAACATCCAGAATGTACAGCACCCCAAAGTCTTATTGAATCAACACCTAATAAATTTTTAAGAAAACAATTATACATTTGGTTTTTTTTTAAATTAAAAAAATGTATGCTGGTATATATTAATATACATATCAGATATCAAGATGATAATACTGTGCATACCAAATAGAAATGCATAAAAAACCAAGAGAACACTATAAAAAGCAGCAACGGTTCCAAATATGCTTATAACCTGTTTATCATAGACGATATACACAATAAAATTGTCAGAAATTTTCAAAATATTGTTAATATTATAATACTGTACTTACAGTACTATGCCTATTTTGTCAATATATATATTACGTATAAGTATGTAGTATATGCATTAACAAATTATAAAAGACTAAAAATAGTGCTTTAATTAGCTATACCTTTGTTCTTCTTCCTCACCTATGATAAAACTGCTTGGACTAAAGATCTGCGGATATTATATTTGTAGTTTTTTGACATCTTGAGTTACGGCTGTGGATGCTGCTGCAAAGATCTGCGGATATTAAATTTTAACCAATTAACACAACCTTATTATACAGTAAAAAATAAGATGAACCATTAAAAGATTGATATTAATTGTCGCAGCTGATGCTGAAATTTTTTCATATTTTATTATAAAATTATAAAAAATTTTTGGGCCTTTTTTTTACACTTTTTTTTCATAGTTAAGTTAGGGTTAGTAGGGTAGTTTTATTAATAAAAAAGTATATGTGGATTTTAGTAGGTATTATAGATTTAAATAGTGACCCCAAATTTCAGCATCAGCCGTTTTCAGCATCAGCTGCGACATTAATTTAGGTGCTTGAGAAGCAAATCGACAATCGAGGGCATTGCCACATGATCTCCGACCTCAATTTATTTTGATGCAGGCAATCTCTATGATTGGTTAATTCTTCCAATCAAATTACATAAGTTTTATTGCTTTCGATACATAGAAAACAAAAAAAGCTTCATATAAAGAAGCTTACAAACAATAAATACACATAAAAGAATTTATACCAAATGCTTAAAGAATGGATAGTACGTGTAAAGTGAGATAATATGCTATTTATTATTGATAAACCCGAACTAATTAAAGAATTTACGATATAAATAGTAGTTTTAATTTACAGTCAACAAACTCAAACACGCGAAAAGAACAATCCGAATTTAAAAATTACAAAAGTCTAACTATTGAATTCAAGTGTACTTATCTAATAATGAACCCAAATCTGAGTACCGGATAAACACTTAGATCAATACGCACAAAAAAGCCTGCATGTTACCAGACTCAACGAACTAATTCTTATAAAGTCTAATACTCCATTTTTAACATAATGAATTAAACGGCTATAAAGGGCTCTTTATTAAGACTTACGCCTTGATTGTTCTTTTCAATCTTATTTGGTTGAGCATTTCAAATGTATTTAACGCCTATATGCAGCTACATATACAGGTAGTAAACAATGAGTAGTAAAATATTCTCTCCTGAGTGAAGTTTACCGAATTCTTGATTATTTTTGGTTATTTTTACATAGTGAACGTTAACGCTCTTCCGCACGCATTGGTGGTAATTACGTTGATTTTTGTTAGTGAAGCGTTTCATTCTCAAAAGTACTTTAATGTGTATAAATAAGTTACCCGGGCAATTGATTTACATTAGCCAATCATAGGATTGTCTGCTATGCTGATCTTACGTAGAGTAATATGGATGTAATAACTTTTTGATACACAGTACAGTTAGAAAAGCACGTAGAAGTTAGCCTTTCTAATCTTAAAAGTGAGATTAATTGTTTGACATAATTCTTTTTTCAAGTAAACTTATCCTTTTTCTTTAATAAAATTCCTTTTTTTTCTTTAATAAAATTCCTTTATTTTCTTTAAAATTCCTTTTTTGCAAAAAATATTTACTAGCTTAATTTCTGCGTGTCTTCTCTATTTTATATATTCCCTATGTCTATAATGCAAGTAAAAGAATGATACGATTGATAGACAGTTCGGTTCTTCTCGATAATTTAACCTGTCAGTATAGATTCCTTATATAACCTTCAAACTTTATAGCATAATTTTATCTGTACCAAATTAGTTCATGAGTGTTAATTTTATTTATAAGCTTATGTACAGTCAAAATCCCTACAATGAACTTTTATAGTGGATTGAATCCCATTTAAAGTCACAAAAGTTTTACTTTTGCAATGCATTCAAACTAATATCCATAACTTAAGAAGAGAGAAAATTAAAAAAGTTTTCTATAACTTTACGAAGAGTTATAATCGGAATATTATGAGACTGCTCCCTCAATTTTCAGTTACGCTCGGTGTTGCAAAATATGGGCATGGACAATATGGACCATTGGCATGGATATTTATGGACTATGTATTGTCCTTATTTTTCTATTGGACACAAGGCAAATCAAACACGTGGGGGGTACCCTTATGTCAAGCAAATTCCGGGCTGAAGATCGCTGAAGATCACTTCCGATCATAAAGTTCGTAGATCGGATCCAATAAAATTACAGGATCTTGTGTAACAAACAAACACATAAAATATAAGAAAATGCAAAAAATTGTAAATAACGCAAAATTTTACTATGCTAACTAACTTCCGACCTTTAAATAAA